GGGGGGGGGGGGGGGATGGGCGTGGCCATGGGGGCGCACGCGCATGCACGCGCGCGCCGGGGCACTCGCACACCACGCGCGGGCCGGGCGCGCCATGCTTCGGAAGGGGGGTGTCGCCGGCGGCCGGCGCAGAACACCATAACACAATCACGCGACGGGCACATGCCGGCAGAATGCCGCTCTATTAACTCAACACAGCTGGAGGGGCCTTTTGGGTGATTCTATTTCTGGAGAATGTGACCAGAGCATTGTGGGCCGGGGCACACGGAGCGGGGGGGGGGGGGGGGGTGGATTCATCGGCAGCGCCGGAGTGCTGGAGGTGTTGCTGCTGCTGCTGCTGCTGATGCCGCGGCTTTTATCGCCGGTCGCGGCTGCGACTGCGGCTGCGGGGGCGCCGGCCTCGGGAGTAGTATCGGTCGTCATCACGTCGGGAACGCCAGTCGCGTTCGGGGCTGCGGCTGCGGCGGCGATGGCGATCGCGGCTGCGGCTCCGGCTGCGGCTGCGATAGCGGCGACCGTCGCGGCTCCGGCTCCGGCTCCGGCTCCGGCTGCGACGCCGGTCGCGGCTGCGGCTGCGGCTCCGGGTGCGGCTGCGGCGGTCCCGACCACGGCCGTGTCGATCACGCTCATGGTGGAGGCTCTGGTGGTGCGCGCGCGGCTCCGGGGCCCGGATGTCGGACGCGCGCCGGCCGGTGGCAGCCACCGACGGGCCGCCATTGCCGTAGGAGCTGATGGCCAGCGAGTGATCCCGGCCGAAGGGGTCGGTCGCGGGCGGCGGCCGGGCAAAGCCCGACGTCAGTTGGCTTTCGACCAGGGAGGCCATCTCGCGCGAGTGCTGCTTGGCGGCCTCTTTTTGCTGGTCGGCGATGACTTTGACGATCGGCGCCACGAGGGTGCAGTGGGTCAGAGCCAGGGAGAGAGGGGTGGGAGCGGTGTCCAAAGGAGGGACGGATGGGGGGGAGGGGGGGGGGCGGAGGGGAGAGCCGGGGCATACTGTTCTTGTTGAGGGCCTGCTGCATGCGCTGCTTGAGCATTTCCGCCCGGGAGAGGGGCTTGCTGGGGGGCTCCTCGGGCGCCGGGGCCAGCGCCGGCGAGGGGAATGAACGTGCCGGGGCCAGTGCCGGCGAGACGGGCAGGTGCGAGAGCGCGGCGCGGGAGTCCTGGGCGGAGCGGCCCGGGCCCCGGTCCCGGTCCCGGTCCCGGTCCCGGTCCCGGTCCCGGTCCCGGTCCCGGTCCCGGTCATAGCCACCGCGACCGGTCCTGGCCTGGTCATAGCCACCGCGACCGGGCCTGGCCTGGTCATGGTCACTGTCGCTGTCGCTGTCGTCATCCGAGTCGGAGTCCGAGTCGCCGGGGTCATCGTGCGCGGCCGGGGGGGCATTGCGCTCGAGCCAGTTCCAAAGGGGGCTGAAGGCCGGGCCGTCGGTGCTGGCCTCGATGCCGCGGGCCTGGTACTGGAGCTTCTTCCGGAGCAAGCGCCGGAGACGCTTGCTCTGGTACTTGAGGGCTCGGTGTGAAAGGGTCCCGGAGCCGGCCTCGGCCTGGGCCTGGGCTTGGGCCTGGCCGCGGGCCGCCTGCTGGATGAGGCGCTCGGTGCTGTTGCGGTTGGCCTGGCCGCGGGCCGCCTCCACCGAGGCCAGGTACAGGTGCTGCACGAGCTGCTGCATGCCAAAGCGCCGGCCCAGTGTGGCCAGCTGGTCGAGGGTGTGTCCGGGCAGGCGGTCCAGGGCCTGAATCAGGCTGGTGTCTAGCGGGGCGGGGAGGTGGGGGGGG